CTAACCTTGCAGCCCTTCCTTTTCTTCAATTTTGATCTGCTAGCTTAGGTTGTTAACCCTCCAGAAGAGAAGCTAATTATGTACCTGCAATATATGCAGTGTGTTTTACCCTGTCTAAATATCAAACATCTTTGGCATATCATGGAACAGGTATTTTCCATCAGATATTGATATGTTGAACTTTAAGTCCTTACAGAATATGAAGGAAAAATAATTACATAAAAGTAGAAATAAGCATTAACATATTTTTACAAAGAAATTTAGAAACCTAAGCATATACAGAATTGTAAGACCTTATACTAGGGAGACAATATGATTTTTACAGATGTGGGTCTGGTTTATCTCACTAATAAGTATATCTTCAAGTGGCACCCACTTAAATATGAAGGATTCAAGTTTATCATTCTTTATAGTTAGTAGTACTCTATTATATAAAGTACCACATCTTTTTCAACCATTCCACATGTGACAAGCATCTTGGTTGTTTCCAAGATCTGGCTATCACAAATTGTGCTGCTATAAACATAGGTATGCATATATCACTATGATACGACGCTTTCAGTTCCTCCAGGAAAATTCCCAGTAGGGGGATAACAGGCTTGAATGGGATTTCCAGTCCTAGTTTTCTAAGGAGTCTCCACACTGATTTCCATAATGGTTGCACCAGTCTACACTCCCATCAACAGTAGAGAAGGGTTCCCCTCTCCCCACAGCCTCGCCAACATTTGTTGTTGGTTGATTTCTTTATGATAGCCATTCTTTGTGGTGTGAGACGGTATCTCAGTGTTGTTTTAATTTGCATTTCACAGATAGCTAATGATGTGGAGCATTTTTTTCATCTATTCACTTCTTTAATTTTGTCCTCTGAGAAGTGTGTGTTCATCTTGGATGCCCATTTCTGGATTGGGTCTTTAAATTTAGGGGCCCTAATGTTCTTTAGTGCTTTATAAATTCTAGAGCAGACCTTTGTCTGAGTGCTTATTAAGATTTTTTCGAAGTTTGTGGGTTGTCTTTTCATTTTGTTGATAATTTCTTTTGACGTGAAAAATCTTCTCAATAAGAAGTGGTCCCAGTTGTTAATTCTTTCAACTGTTTCCCGTGTGATTTGGTTTCTGTTCATGAGCTCTTTGCCTACCCGTATGTCTTCAGGAGATCCTCCTACTTTTTCTTCTAGGAGATTTAGTGTTTCTGTTTTAATGTTCAGTTCTTTAATCCATTTTGACTTTAGTTTAGTGCATGGTGACAGACCTGTGTCAACATTTAGTCTTCAATATGTAGAGAGCCAAATTTTCCAGCACCATTTGTTAAAGAGACTATCTTTCTTCCAGTAAGTGTGTTTGGCCCCTTTGTCGAAGATCAGGTGGCTAAGTGCATTCCTAGAGGCCTCTGCATCTACTAGTGTATTCTGTTGATCGTCAGGTCTGTTTTGTTGCCAATACCATGCTGATTTTATTATAGTAACTTTGTAGTATAATTTCAAGTCAGGAATTGTAATGCTTCCTGCTTTGTCTTTGTTGGCCAGGATTGCCTTGGCTATTCTAAGTCTTTTTTAATTCCAAATAAATTTTAGGAACAATTTCTCTAGGTCTGGGAGGTATGTTGGTCGTAGTCTCATACCTAGGTGACTTTGAAGCATATCCCGTATATCACATAACAGCAACCAAGTAACTACATAGATGAAATGTACATTATGTTAGAAAAGGAAGAGGTCAAGAGATGGAGGCAGTGGGAAGAGAGGCAAAACTTTGAAATGAAAAGAAACGAGGCCAGGGAGATGGTTCAGTGGAATAAGTGCTTTCCTGGCAATTGCAAAGGCCTGAGTTTAATCCCGCTTCCGCCAAAAATAAATAAATAAATAAATAAAATGAAAAGAATTATGAAGCAATCTCAAAACATTATATAGGGCTGGCCAAATAGCTCAGCGGATTACAGCACCGCAAGCAGGAGCAGGGACCAGGGGTCCAATCCCTGGGCTTGCCAGCCCCGCCCCTGGGTGGGCTGAGTCAGCAATTGAGACTGGGTATAGTGCACACACCTATAATCCCAGCTCTTGGAAGGCTATAAACAGGCGGATCACTAGTCCGATCTTATAGTGAGACTCTGACCACCCTGTAGACCCTTCCCAAAAACAAAAAACAAATTATATGGAAGACAGTTACAATAAAAACCATGTAATATTTTGTACCTCACATTCTTAAATTGGTTATTATATCCTTGAATTGGAATCCTGTAAGGTTTATGCACCGCTTTGCCTTTTGGACCCCTCTGCCTTCCCAGAGGCCATGTTCTTATTCCACACCCCTACCTCCCACAGTGTACTCAACTTGCTTCTGGGATGCTTCCCAGTGCTGACTCCAGCTACCAACAGGGATTGTCTTTTATGTTGACTCACCATTGGTTCCATCCTTTCTGTTCCAGCAGCTGGAATATTTGTTGGATGACTACTATACGGTCTGTCTGGGAAAAGAGGAGAAAGTCCTAGGTATTCCCTTTTGCTTACAAGTACTCAATAATGCCCACCTTCCAGAAGCATTGTCACTAGTGTGCTTTGTTACATTGCGGCCAGGCTACAGGCACCACAGGCCACAGGGCCTGGCCCATCAGCTTCCTGTGCTGGACCTGGAATGGGCTGTCTGCCAAGGACTCTTGGTTGGCAGACAGCGGTGTGGCTGGGCAAGGTGGTGCTGACGGGCCTCAGGTGGCTGGCTCTGGCCTTTTCAGCACTGTCAGGAGAGGATGCTGGAAAGGACTGAAGTCCTGGTTGTGATAAGTGCCTTTGTTACATGTCACACTGGTAATGAGTCCAGCTGCTGGGGATGCCAGCGTTCAGCCCTGCCTGTTGGACACCAGGGATGCCCCTCAGTGCTGCAAGCCTACGTTACCAGGACAGCATTTCACACACCACAGTCCCCGTGGGCCCTTGGAGCAGTGTGAGGCTGTGCTGGATTCTGCTCTTGGCACTGACCCCGCAGGGGAGCACAAAGGCCTTTCCATGGGGCTGTTTTGCCCCACCTGGATACATAGTCAGGTATTTATTTTTATCAATTGGTAGATTTTTAAAACTGCTTTTAGTCCTGTAATCACATTTACATTGTGCCAAGACTAGATTTTCAGAAAAGATAAATTTAGCAAGAGTATTTGCTCATTTCCAAAATAGGTAATTCATTTTCTACCTGTGTGGCTCATTGTGTTAAAAAGTAAGCAAACCTGCGCCTTGCTAGTCCCTTTCTCAGATAAATGGTGGTGTGCCAGATAGACTCACCTCCCTTGCTTTTAGCCTCCTGTGTCTGGAAGCCTCTTGAAAACGGCGTGGAGCAGCCCATCATCCCCTGTGCTCCAGGGAGTAACCCACTCAGGAGTGTCGGCCATCGTGATGCAAGCACTGTGTCAGCCCCGCCTTGAGCGCCTCAGCTTTGAAGGAGATGTCTAGACATAACCTAACAGACCCTCGCCAGCTAAAGGCTGGGGGAATAAGAACATGTCTGAAAGCTGTTCACATGCTAGCCACCTGTGAGTAGCTGCCAGCACACCACGTCGCCATCGGCATGGCTGGGTCACACACTGAGGGCCACTGTGATCACCCATCTGGCCAAGTCAGCCTGCAGCCCGGCCTTATTCCTGATGGCTTTTTCTTCCCTCAGTCTCTGCGTTTATTTGCCTCTAGTTTCTCTTGGTATCTTAGCAAAGCCAGTATTGATGTTTCCAGGCCAGAGAGCTGAGTGTATGCAGTGCTGAGGCCAGGAGGGGTGGAGGTGCTGGCTGTACCCTGTCACCTGCTTTTGTTACTGGTAACTGTCATTTCTTCCTTCCCTGTTTCTTCATTTCTCCATTCTTGGGACATTTTTCTTTTAACTTTGCTTAAACATAGAGTCCTGGGCCAAGGCCCTTGGGGTGAAACAGGACCTTTTAATTCAAGCAGTGATCAAACAAAGAACAAACAGTTCCATTCTAGGACCTGTTCAACAGTAAACAAGGAAGCAGAGACAACACAGCCCAGAACAAACAGTTGTCCAGGATGTAGGCGCAGGTTTGTGCGCTAAGCTCCAGTCCTCTGTAAATGCCACGACACTGGAATCTGAGTTACTGCAGGTGCCAGTGGCATGGGTACAGCGGGAGCTGGCCATTGCTAATGGCTGCTTCTGTGCCAGGAACAGAGTTAGGGAGCTGATAGCACAGCTCAGCCCGGCCCATGTGCTTCTGGCCATTGTGGGTCACAAAGAGCCTTCTCCCAGCCTGTCTCCAGCTTTTCCTGTCTTTTGTGTCACCAAGTCTGCGAGCCAGCCCTCAAGACCCCAGGGCTTCTGTCTCTCTGTCCAGCTTTCCCAGCACCCACTTCTGGACCTGGTGGGGTACGGCCTATGGTAGGTGTCATGGGTAGCAGGTCTGCAGGTGGATCAGCTCGATTCTGGTCAAGGAGTCTCCTTTACCTCTGTGACAGCAGTCCAGGCTGCAGGGAAACAAGGCACAGGTGGAACTCAATCTGCTGAGCGCTCGGGCAGCACGGCAGGGTGGGCAGCCTCAGGTGCGCACACCTACCCACACAGCGGAACACCACCCAACCGCCCCGTGAACCCGCCCTGTCCTGGGTGCAGGGCGCTGGGGGAGGGCCCCCGCAGACACTAGCTGGGCCTCAGCGGCTCTCCCCGTGCGGGTTACAGGCTGAGGGCCGCGCAGCTTCCCAGCCGAGACTCCCTCAGGAGCTTCTCCCTGTGACCAGCCACAGCTGCACTCGCGGGTGGTCAGTTCGATTCAAACCGAAGGAATTAGGTTTCTCAGGCCAGGCAGCGCTGGGGAGCAGCTTAACTTCACCCCTGGGACCGCGGAGCCTGCATGACCCCTGAACCCAACCTGGAGCGCGGCCGTAGGCCGACGGAGGAGGGGGGGGGCAAGCGGGGCGGGGCCGAGCTCGCGACGACGGGCGTGTCCTGGGGCGGGGCCTGCGGGGGCGTGTCCTAGGCAGTGGGCGGGGCCTTCGGCGCTGTCCGGTGCTGAAGCTCTGCCCGGCGCCGCCGCAGGAGCGCGGAGAGGCGCGGCCGCGGGAGCTGGCGCCGCCTGCTCTGTCCTGCTCGGTCCTTGCTCCCGCGCGGCCATGGACTGAGCTTCGAGCGGGCCACAGGGATGGGGCCGCCGCTCCGGGCTCTGCTGCTGCTGCTGCCGCTTGCACTGCCCGCTGCCCCCGCCCCCGCACCCCGCGGCCGGCAGCTCCAGGGGCGCCTGGGTAAGTGAGGGGCGCAAGGCAGACGGCTTGCGGTGGAGAGGGAGCCTGGGGGAGGGGTGTCTGTCAGGGGATGCGCCTCGGAGCGAGGGGGGCGCTTTGAGGGGGAAGGGCGCCTGCAGAAGGGGTCGCGAGGGTGGGGTCGGAGAAGGCTTGGGGGTCGCAGGCCTAGCGTCACCCCAGGCTCAGCCCTTCGCCCCCCCACCGCCACGCGAGCGGTGTTGCTTCCCTGCCTCAGTTTCCAGGCCCGGGCGGGCCCAGGAGCATAACTGTGGAGGAAAGGGCCGCGTGGACAGGACTCCATGGGGCCTCCCTCGCCCCGCGCTCCTGTTAGACCGGAGGTGGGGGCGGAGGACATTTTCCTCCCTGCTGGGGAGGGAAAAGGAGGGAGGCGACAAGGAGGAGGGCGGACTGGCGTCTTTTCCGACTGGGTACCTCCCTCCTCGTCTTGTCTGAGGAGGTTCGCCATAGAGCAACGTGTGCAGGAAGCATTGGGGCCCGGACTGCTGCTAGCTGGCTGGAACCCTGGGGTTCAAGGACAGTGGGCAAAACTGGGCGGGTGTCAGACGCAGCCTCCAAGCTGTCTGGGGACCCTGCAACATCCTCCTGCCCCTATCCCTCTTGGTCTCAGTATTGCTTTATCTATCTAAGCAGCAAACAAAAACCGCAGGAAATGAGGCAAGCAGTGGCCCTCCCAGATCCCCAGGCCCGCACACAGTGATCCTGGGCTCTTCCAGCAGCTGGCATCCTGCACAGGCAGAGCACAGGCTGTGTGCACTCCAGGACGCTACACAGGCATGTCCTGCTTTGGGGAGCTGTCTCTGCTCCTCTCCTTCACCCCAGTTGGCCCTCCTGTGCCCTGGCTTTCTGGAAGGGGTGAAATTCCTTTGTGGATTTGATCTGGGCTGAACTCATGGGAGCTGTGTTTGCCCAGCTAGCCAGGTGCCACCCTCCATGCCTGTGGGAGGTGGGGCATCATGGCGTGAGTTGCCTGCTGGGCCTTAGTGGCCTCTCTTTCTTTGTGACTGCCAGTTCATAGCATTTTGCCAAAATCACAGAGAAGGGGAGGTAACTGAGGGAGAGCTGAGAAAACCCAAAGATGAAAGCGAATGAAGACACTGTGCTGTCCTGGACCATCTTGCTGAGCACAGTGATGTTGTCTTGGCAACAGCAAAGTGGAATCATGCCGTGTAAAAGGCGTGCCCTCTGCAGCCACACAGCTTTCAGTGTTCCAATCTCAGGTCTGGGAGCTGGTGGATCAGAGACCACACAGAAATTATGGGGGCTAGGGTGCCCTGTTCCCCTCCATCCAGTTAGAGGGGCTATGTCATGCAGTCTCTGTGGAACAACATGAAGGACCCAAGATTTGCACGAACGATGCCAGGGACAGGAACAACGCTATCTTCCCTGCAAGTGTCTGTGCCCCTCAGCTGGACCCTGCACCAGCTCTGCTCAGTTGCTGCTGCATATGCTCTGGACCTCTCTGCAGAAGACATGGCAGGGACAGGTCCCCCAGGACAAGCAGGTGCTGCGTTCTCTGTCTCTGCCATCTCGATCCTGGTGATAGTCACAGCAGCTGCTTTGTTCCAGTACAAATGCAGCTTGAAGACACGCAGCAACCTTGAACCTGACCCAGCCATCACCCGCCTCTCGAGTTGAGGCCTACAGAACAGATGGCTGAGGAGATCCTTGAGTTTGTGTCTTTTTTGCATCAAGCAGCATCATATGTTAGAACTAGGGTGATTCTACCCGTGTGGGGCTATGCTTGCCCTCTAGTTTTTGGTTTTTGTTTTGTTTGTTTTGTTTTGTTTTTTGTTTTCAGCACTGGGGATTGAACTCAGGGAGCACTAAGCTACATCCCCAGCCTTTATGACATATATATATATATATATATATATATATATATATATATATGTATTTGAGACAGGGTATTACTAAATTGCCCAGACTCAAATTTGCAATTCTGCCTCAGGCTCCAGAGTGGCTGAGATTACAGGCAACAGCACCTCTTTTCAGTTTCTTGATTCATCTTGCCAAGACAAGTCTCCTGCATCAGGCAGTATTGTCCAGGACAGCTTGGTGACTCTGCATGTACTTTTGTCTTTGTGTACTTCACTCCTTCTTTCCCTTGCAGCCTCCCTCTCTGCCCTTCTCTGAGAGTGCAGGGCCTTTTTTGACCAGGTCCTCCATATTTTTCCATCAGTCTGTTTTGAGCTTAAGCAACCATTCTGCAGTTCTGTGGAGGTCAATTTGTGAACCTGGATGGTGGCTCCCAAACTAAAGGCATCTAAAGTACCCCCCATTCACTAAAGAAATGTGCATTTCCTTTGCCAGAGGCTGAGCCCGAGAAGAGTCCAGATTCAAGCCTTGCCAGGGCCTGGCTGTGACGATGGACAACTGGGTTTTTTGCCCTTTTGTTTTCTCACTACTTGCCCACATGTATTCTTCATTCACCCACGTGGAGTTGAGAAGCAGAGCTGGCAGCAGCAGGAGTGGTTGCTTTGTGAACTGCATGGCCTGATTATCAAATTTTAAATCAAAGGATCCTTCCTCTCACCAAAGCACAAACCCGTCTTTGCTTTCTGGGGTCCAGAGCCTTTGTGTTTGGTTCTATGGTGATGAGCTGAAGCCCAATTCTCACTGCATCTGTGAGCTGTTCCCGGCTTCCTCTCCATCAGCCCCTGGGGCTGGGGTACCTGGGCAGGACTAGGGTGTGTGGAAAGGAGGTGCCAGGCAGTGGGTTCAAAGTGAGATGCTCTGCATGGAGGTGTGAGGGCTGTGCCTGTGTTCAGAAGTAGCTGTCAAGTGTGTCTGCAGGGAATAAAAGGTTTTGAATGGCCTCCTCTCCATGCTAAACTTAGCTGCGCACCCCAGCTCCCCTTTCAAAGCCGATCTGTTTTCACACTTGCCTGTCAAGGTCATCATTCAGTGACCCCCAAGGAGGGGCAGCCTTACCTTCCCCAGTGGGGCCTCTCGCAGCACACATGCCAGGAAACTTGCACGTTAGGGGCTCCTGACCCAAGAGGAGCCCAGCTGCGGCAGCTGAACTGTGGGTGGAGGGCAGGTAGCATACCCCCCTTTGGGTTCTCATTCTGTTGTAATTATGGATTCTTTCATGTGATTATGGTTACACTCTTCACACATGGTGTTACCTACATTGAGAATGTAGTTATTCAACCAGCGTTCTCGGGGTCTGGAGAAGCCAGGGACGTGGGCAGAGGGAGAAAAGCATGAAGCTGAACAGCTGCTGGGCTGCGGCTGTACAGGGTCTTATCAAGAAGGTCTTGAGATCACAGAAATAGAGATAGGCACACAAGACACAAGGAAACAATTTTTGTTTGTCTCCTTGATTACTTTAAAACTGTGGGACATACGCCTGCTCTGTTGTGTGGAGATGCACTAATCCCTAGGAGTATTGGTTACTGGCCTTGAACTTCCCTAGCCCTCCTCATCCTCCCCAAGACTGAGGATGTCAAAATGAAAGAAACTAATTCCCAGGGACCCTCAGTTGCCCTCTGTCACAGCATTGAGTCCAAGAGCCCTCTGGAGTGGTGCCCAGAAGTCCTTGCGCCTACAGTGCACGACCCAGGAAAGCAGAGCCCTGGTGACCTTTGAGGTGAGCTCTCCTCCTCTGAGTGGGAGCAGTTACCCCATGATGGGAGCCAAGACCCCACACTTTCCAGCAAGGACAACCCTGGGAACCAAGTGGACTCTCAAGGGCTCCTACAAATGGGAACCCAAACTGAGAATGAGCTGCCAGGCCCTGGCCTGTCCCAGCTGATCCTTAAATGTTCCACCTGCTTCTGGGAGCAGGGGGAGCACCTCCTGTACTCCAGCTGCAGCCTTCTCCTGTTCCTCTTGCTGTCTAATTCTACCTGAAAGGTCTGTGCTGTGCCTCACACTGATGTGCCAAAGGCCGGCATCTCCTCTGGGAGACACTGTTCCTTTTGCAATTCAATGTGGCCCAAACTAAAAGCAACTCTTAGCTTTGGGGGGCAAGTACTTAAGATCTGCTAGGGTGCGTATGAACATTGCTAGTTTAAGGATCCTTTGTTCCTGGAGGAGTGAAGAGACACCCTAAGAAATGGGCCGAAAGGGTTCTGTCCAGATGCATCTCAGAGATGAAGGCCAATTTGCCGAAGCTAGCGCAGGGCTGTCTTATCTTTCCTGACAAGATGTTCTGTTTCCCAGAGAAAGCAAACAGCTGAGCTCATGGCAGATAGCCCTCTGTTCCACATAAATGCACCTGGCAGCTGTTTCCACATTAGTCTAAATTGACCTTCATAAATGTAGACCCAGCTGGACTTATTTCTCCTAATGCTGGTTGATAAGAAGACCAGCAAACTTGAGAAGCAGAAAAGTCAGACTACTTTCCTGATGCCTGGAAACGTGGAAACAGTTTGTTGAAGGAAGGGCTTTTTTCTCTTTCAGTTCCTGCTATCCCGAGCACTGTGCCAGCCCACTCTTCAAATATCTAGGACAGGAAGTAAAAGCGGGCGCGGCTCCCCGGGGACACCTCTGCCTCCACACGTTAAGTACCTTTTGTTTGTAGTCTGCCTTGCCTGGCTGATAGGCAGCAGCTCTTGCTGGACTTTGAGTTCAGCACTGCCTTTGTCTTTGGAGGCCAGGCGGGTGCAGGTGATGGCAGGAAACCAGAGGAGCGTGGCTGGTGGCAGATCCTCAGTGTGCACTGTCCCTGTGGGGGCGGATGAGAGAGCACTGTTCCCTCTGGGGACACTGAGCATGGCTCAGAGGGCAGAGGATGGGCCCAGGTAGCCTGTGCAACCAGGCAGTGCAGGGTGACTGGGGCCCATGGCAGGCAAGAGCAGGAGCTCACGGGTGCAGGCCAGACTGGAGTGTACTTTGCAAGTACACTGCTCCTTTCCTTTTGGTGCTGCAGTCTGCATATGGCTTCAGGGGCCTTTGCTATCAGGTCACAGAGCAGCAGGCCCTTTGCCTGACAGCCCACTGCTGGCTTCGTCCTGGCGCCCTGGTCCTGAGCT